ATATCATAACTAAGAAAATATAGGACAAATAGAAAACAAATAGCAAAATGGTATATTTAAGCACATAATATTAAAAAGTACAACTAATGACACTAATTGTCAATGATCTGGACTCCCACCCAGACTCCCTCCCCAGCCCCACCTTTTTCCTGGGCAACCTAAGAGGTCCTCCTAAGAGGAACAGGACATGGAGAAGCAGAGGTTGATCTAGCTCCACCTGCTCAGGTCTCCTAGTCACCCAGCTGCAAATCAACCTCTAAGTCAATCCTTTCCTTCTGCTCTTGAAGGCAGCACCTAGGGACTCTGTGTCCAACAAGTTGATAGGAGACCTGAGAAGCCCATCAGATGTGAAAATTAATAGCTGCATCCTGCTAGGATGCTTATAATAGGGGAATCACTAGAGTGGCATGACCAGAAGTTTGGGCTTATTTTTGTATATTTTCCAAAGGATTTTAACCAGGTATAAATATACAAACCAGCTCATGAAGGTACAGAAGAAGACCTAGGCTTCCCATTAAACAGTTGGCAGATTATTTCAATAGACATTTCCCCAAGGAATACTTACAAATGAACAAAAGGCATATGAAAACATGCTTAACATCATTAATAATCAGTAATGCAAATCAAAATTGCAATGAGATACCACTAGTACCCACTAGCATAGTTATCATTATAAAAGGCTGATATGTACAAATGTTGGTAAAGATGTAGAGAAGTTGTAACCCTCATACTTTGACATTGAGGCTGTAAGTGGTGCAGCCACTTTGGATAAAATTTTGGCAGTTCCTCAAAAGCCAATCATAGAGTTATCATATGACCCAGGAATTCCACTCTGAGGTGTACGTCCAAGAGAAAAAAAACATATATCTACACAGAAATTTGTACATGAATGTTCATATTACTAGTATTCATAGTAGCCAAAAAGTAAAAACAACATAAATGTCTATTAACTGATGAATGTGTAAGTAAAATGTGGTAAATCCATATGGTGGGATATTATTCAGCTCTAAAAATAAATTATTGACACATCTAACACATGACCGAAACTTGAATACATGCTAATTGAAAGCAACCAGTCCAAACAGCCACATATTCTATAATTCCATTTATATGAAATGTCCAGAATAGGCAAATCCATAGAGACAGTAATTGGATTGGTAGTTGCCAGGGGCTTGGTGGGAGAAAAAACGGGAAGTGATTTTAATGGACTTGAGGTTCCTTGTTGGGTGATAAAAATGTACTAGATTTTGATAATGGTTGCACAACTTTTGAAAATATATTTTTAAATGCTGAAATGCCAAATTCATTTTTTTTTTTTTTGCTTGCGGCACGCAGGCCTCTCACTGTTGTGGCCTCTCCTGTTGCGGAGCGCAGGCTCAGCGGCCATGGCTCACGGGCCCAGCCACTCCGTGGCATGTGGGATCCTCCCGGACCGGGGCACGAACCCGTGTCCCCTGCATCGGCAGGTGGACTCTCAACCACTGTGCCACCAGGGAAGCCCTGAATTCATTTTTACAGGTGAATTTTTAAAGGGGAATTTTATCTCAATAAAATTATAAAAAAGCAAGAAACATGAAGAGGATATAGATGTTGGAGTTAGCAGGCATAGACTGTGAAATAGATATTTTTAATATGCTTAACAAAATAGATGGCAATAGGAAATCTATTTTTTAAAAAAAGAATAGAATAGAAAATCTAGAGCTAAAAAGTAAACTTTAACTAAAACTAATACTTCATAGGTGAGTGAAACAACATTTAACCACAGCAAAAGAAAGGACTAGTGAAGTGGGAGATACATCAACTGAAAATATCCAGATCAATACACAAAGAAAAAATGATAGAAAATTCAGAAGTGAGGAAAAGAAATATGAGGGAATCCCAGAAAAAGAGAAATGGGCAAATGTGCAAGAAACAATAATAAAAAGAGACACTGATCAAAAAAATTTTATACTGAAAAAAGGCAGCAAACATTATATGGAAGAATCTCTGCAAATCCCAGGCAAGATAAAGACAAAGTAAATAACATTTAGGCCAATCAGAGTGAAATTTCTGGAAGAAAAAGATAAAGAAAAAATTTTAAAAGCGTTAAAACAAAAAAGACACATTACTTTCAAAGGAGCAACAATAGGACTAAAAATTGACTGTTATAAACAAATATTGGAGACAGAAGAAAATAGATCGATATCATTAAGGTGCTAAAAAAATACCAGCTAGTTTTCTAGGTAGCCAAGGTAATGGGTATGGTGTAAATCTGAATCTCGTATTATATCCCCTCAAGAAAATTAATAACAATAATAACAAAACAATTGTATTATCTCATGAAATTAATATAATTAGGAAACCTAGAAGTTTCAAATCACCTGTAAGTAGGAAAATAAACACCAGATCACAATGAGCTACTTTCCAAGCTGCTGCTGCAAACTTTCACTAAAACCAAATGCAACTCACACACACACACAAATGTACAAAAGGAAGAAGAACAGAAATAACATCAGACCTAAAATTAAAGTGAGTCAATCTTTAAAATGAGAATATCCTCCCCAAGTGTGAAAGGAATAGAAACTCATACAAAACCACAGGGAAAAAACTCAAAAAGTTCATGTGAGACTTGAGGACATAGTCTTGAAACGATAACACTTTGGATGAGAAGAGGGTAAAAAGAAAGGAAAAGGACCCTTCGAAGAGCACCTGGTAAAGGGGAAAAAAAGAGGGGAAAATAAAACATCTCATAAGGCAAAATATATCACGCAATTTAACGTTAAAGGACACACAATCCTTTCCTCCGAAACTCATCTCCACAAAACAAAGACTATCTATAAAGAACTATACTTCACTACACTAGCAGAAGTGGATGATCTTAAACTATGAATCTTATAGAACTATCAAACTACCAGTCCTCTCCATGGGAAAACTCAGAAACAGACTTCATCTATTGAAAATTATCACAAAAATAAAACATAAAAGGAGAATAAGAATAAGAAGCTAATGAAAACAATCACTGCCCTAAAAAAAAAAAAAAAAGAAAGAGAGAAAAAAAGTAAGAAAGAAATTTATGATGCAAAAGGAAATTAACACAGCACTTCAAACTAAATTAAAATATCAACACACAAGTATTTGGGGACATAGGGAAAAAACTTAGAATAGATACAGAAACACAAAAATGGGCAGGAATGAAGTAAGAGTCAGTTGAATAAGGAAAACTAGAGAAGAAAAAGACAAAAGGTAATGTTATTTTTTACATGATATATGCTCTATCTTTGTATTTTATGGGCTGACAAAGTCAAAATTAGGCAACTCATATATAAAAGGAAATAAGGACAATAATAAGGGTATAAGTACAAAGATAACTAATAGAACAGAAATACAAACTTTTCTATATGCCAACAAATTTTATAAAGAATATTTTAAACATAATATAGAGAAAGAAATATGACAAAGGTAATATAATGTGCATAATAATATTTGTCATTATTGTCATAATAACGACAAGTGGAAATAGGCTTAACTATATTAAATGAAAAGGATTTTTAATTTAGCTGATAAAGACCAAGTATTTTCTATATGCGCAAGATATGCCCAAAACAGAATGATTCAGAAAAGCTTAAATTAAGGGAATGAACAAAGGTATAAGTAATGGAAACAACAGAAAAACAAGGATAGTGTTACTGATATCAAACAAAGTAGAATACAGACCTACATCATTGAAACATAACAAGGAATGATACTTTTTTAATAATAAGAGGCAAGATTCACAAGAAGGTATAAGTATCATAAATATCTACAGCAAATAACACAGCAGCCAATTATATGAAGCAAAAAATTAATTTAAATGCAAGAAAACATAGAAACAAAATAGGAGGAGGCTTTAACATACTACTGTCAGTACAAAACAGACTGAGTAAACAAAAATTGTTACAGAGAATCTAATGATATAGTCAGTAAATCTCATGAATATAAAGAAAAATATATATAATACTCTCTCTCTCTCTATGTATGTGTGTGTGTGTGTATATATATATATATATATATATATATATATATGGCAGAATTTTTACCCTGGTAAAATTCACTTTCTGGAAGAAATTCACTTTCTGGAAGAATTCACTTTCTTCTAAAGTGAACATGCATGAAAACTGCTGTGTATGAGGTTATGAAGAAAACATTAGTAATTTTCATAATTTAGAATTCTCACAATGAACACTCTCATATCACAGTGCAGTAAAACTCAGATTTAGTAACAAAAGTTTTTAAATTAACTTCCTAACAGTTAATTTTAAAACTTCCATTAAACAACTCTTAGATGAGAGTGAACCTACAAAATGAAATTACAGAATATCTAAAAAAAGATAACAAAACACTGCATAACAGATTTTGTGGGATATATTTTAATCAGTGCCCAGAAAAAAATCTATAACCTTAAATATATACATATATGAATAAAAATAAATAAATTCCCAGCTCAAGAAGGAAAACAACCCAAAATGTACTAAACACACACACACACACACACACACACACACTCACAGAGGAAAGGAAATAATAAAGATAAAAGTGGAATTAATACGGAAGATTAAAAAAAGAGCAAATTTAATTAAAAATCAAAATTTCAGGTTTTTAAAACAAATAACTATCTGATTTAATCAAAAAAAAGATAAAAGGGCAATATATAACATGAGAAATGATACAAGGGAAATACCATAGAAATGGACCAAAAATAAAAAGGAATATAAGGAAAAAATAATAAATTTACAATTATAGTTGGAGACTATAAAATGCTTCTTTTTTTATAAATTTATTTATTTATTTATGGCTGTGTTGGGTCTTTGTTGCTATGCATGGGCTTTCTGTAGTTGCAGCAAGTGGGTGGCTACTCTTCGTTGGGGTGCGTGGGCTTCTCATTGCGGTGACTTCTCTTCCTGCGGAACACAGCCTCTAGGTGAGCAGGCTTCAGTAGTTGTGGCACGTAGGCTCTAGAGCACAGGCTCAGTAGGTGTGGTGCACAGGCTTCATTGCTCTGCAACATGTGGGATCTTCCCGGACCAGGGCTCGAACCTGTGTCCCCTGCATTGTCAGGTGGATTCTTAACCACTGTGCCACCAAAGAAGTCCTAAATATGCTTCTTTTAGTAACTGATTTAAGAAGCAGACCAAAAATCACTAGAGGAATAAAGAATAAAATATTTGAAAACATGATTAACAAACTTCACCTAATTAACATTAATAGAATCCTGCATCCAACACCTGCATGAAACACATTGTTTCAAGTGTAAACTGAACATTTACCAAAATTGACCATATGTTGAACTATAAAGCACAAGTCTCAAAAAATTTCAAAGCATTAAAATTAGTATGTTCTCCAGCAACAGTGGAATTAAACTAGAAATAAAAACAAAAAATAACTGGAAAATCCCCAAATGTTTGTAAATCAGCCAATATATTCCTACTTAACCCATGTGTCAAAATAGCCATCCTAAAGGAAATTTAAAAAATATTTTAAACTGATGAAAGTAAAAACATAATGAATCAAATTTTATGGGATGAATTTAGAGCTAAGCTTAGATGGAAATTTAGTAAGTCCTTAAACACATATGTAAGGGAAAAAAATATGCCTGATCTAAGTATCAATCTCAAGGAGCTTGGAGAAAAAAAGAGCAAATCAAACAAAAATTAGTAAAGGAGAAAAGAGCACAAGCTGATGGATTTTTTTTTTTAATACATTGAGGAAAATCAAGAGGAGCAAAATTTATTTTTAAGACTAATAAAATTGATAACCCCTTAGCAATATCAATCAAGAAAAAACAAAAGGAAAGAAAGGCATAAATCACCAGTATCAGGAATGAAAAGATAAATATGATAGGTTCTATACGTTTTACAGACTTTAAAAAATAATAAGGGAATATTATGAATAATTCTAAGCCAGTAAATTTGAAAATTTTGAATGAAATATATAAAATGCTTGAAAAGTACAACTTTGTACTCACAAAGATAAATTCAGGCCCATATGGCTTCTTGATGAATTTTCCTAAGCATTAAAGTAAAACATAATATTAATTTGATTATGTATTTTAAATAGTTTCCTGAGAAAATAAAAAGAAGAAACACTTACCAACTAACTTATTCTATGGTTTCTTGATACTAAAACTAGACAAGAAACTTAAAGGAAAGGAAAATTTCAATTACAAAATAGGCCAATAGCTCTTATAAAAGTAGATGTAAAATACCCTATATAAAATATAATCAAATCCAAAAATATAGAAAAGGAAAATGCATTATTTATTCTACAGCTGTATGATTGGTCAAACTTTTGAGAATCAATATAATTCACCACATCATCAGATAAAGGAGAAAAATCATATGATTTTCTCAGAATTTGGATAAATGCATTTAATAAAATACAATACCTAAGCATAATTAAAAAAAAAAAAACTTTTGGCAAACTAGAAACAGCTGGAAACTTCCATAATCTGATAACACATATGCACAAAAAAGCCAACAGCAAATATCTTCCTAATGATGAAATATTAAAAGCATTTCAAGACAAGAATGCTCACCAATTCTATTTAGACCAATAAAGTAAGAAAAGATAAAAATTAGAATGGAATGGGCTTCCCTGGTGGCGCAGTGGTTGAGAGTCCGCCTGCTGACGTGGGGGACATGGGTTCGCGCCCCCGTCCAGGAAGATCCCACATGCCGCGGAGCGGCTAGGCCCGTGAGCCATGGCCACAGAGCCTGAGCGTCCGCAGCCTGTGCTCCACAACAGAAGAGGCCACAACAGTGACAGGCCCACATACCGCAAAAAAAAAAAAAAAAAAGAAAAAAAAAAAAAGGAAGGTATACATATATGTTACAAGAGACATGCATGAGAATACTCATAGCAGTGTTAATAACCCAAAAGTAGAAACAACCCAAATGTTAATTACCAGTAATATGTAATAATACATCGTGGCATATTCATGAAATGAAATACTATACAATGAAAATAAACTGTTGCTATATGCCACAGCATGAGTGAATCTTATAAACATAATACTGAGTTAAAGAAGGCATGCACAAAAGAAGACATACTGTATGGTTTCATTAACGTAAATTTTAAAGCAGGCAAATCTAATAGAAGGTGTTAAAAGTCAAAATATGTTGTTATTGGGGAGGGGAGTAAATAATGACTATGAAGGGACAAGGAGCTTCTGAGGTGCTGGTAATATTTTGTTTCTATTCTGATATTCATTCTGAGTGGTAATTATATTAATATGTTCACTTTGTAAAATTTCATTGAGCTCTACACTCACAATCTGTGTGAAAATATAAATACATGTATTTATATATTCCCAGTATCTATAATTATCTATGTTTGTTAATATATATGAACAAGTATCCATGTGTACATATGTATAAATATGCTTACCCAAAAAAAAGGATTCCAAAGACGAAATAATAGGCATAGTAAATACCATCCTAGGAGGTATTTATGCTTTATATGGCCAAATTGATAACCCAGAAGGTTGTCAGATACAGTACCATCTAGCCCTGACCCACGACAGACATTGTTAAACAATCGTATTACTCTTTTCCATTGATCTTTGTAGCAGTCAAACAATCTTAAACATGCAGGCCCAGCAGCCACTGCCAACATTGGAAAATGAAGTGAAATCTATTGCCATTCCTGGCTAAAGCATAAAAAGAAATCGTTAACACCAGGATTCAAACTCTGTAGTAATATTAGGTTGGCAGAAAGCTTTGAATTCTAAGACTTTAGTACACCTCTGATCACTCTGGCACCCATTTCTGCCCCAGAATAAGGCCGGCTTTGCCCTGAAGCTATAGTAAACTTCCAGGCCTGACATTCTGAACTTCAGAGCTCAGGCCCATCATTTTTGTAAAAGGTCCTATTAGAATAACCTTATAAAAATAGTAACCACTAGAGTTAAGTTTTGATTAAGTATATTAGAAAATAAAATCTTTTCTTATAGAAACTAGAAACAGGAGAACTTTTGACATTTGAGAGAGACTCTCAAAGAAAAAAATATCGACTCTATTTTAGAGGATCTATTTGCAATGCTTTCTTTGGATTTACATAGCACACATCTCAGTAGCAAACAGTTCCTGAAAATTCTTATTTGGCTTACTAAACTATCTTTATGTTATAACAATATTATGACGATACATTGGAGATTCACATTTTCTTTTGGAAAATTGTTTCCTTAGACAGCAAAAAAAAGAAAAATTATAACCGTTTATATATTATGTTAAAAAATTTTTATCATATTTATATAAAATATATTTTTCAGTGTTTCATAAAACAGTTTCTTGAAACAGTGTCTACTTTCTATTACACTTTTGTTTTAATCCTTATGAACCCCTTATAAATTGATTACAACATTAATCATTCTCTCTTATAATGATGTGAGGTTGGAAGAGAGCAATTTACCCAACACTTGGAGAAATAAGCCACATCAATTTGCACAAAGTTGTAGGTTTTTGTTCTGTTTTTGAAACTGAAAAGAAAAGCATATTTTGATTTCTAAGATTCTCATGTGTACCACAAGAAAGTGGAAATCTAATTTTTGATAAAATATTCATGACTATGCTGTCTTCTCTGTACATTAATTGACTTACTGAGGAAAGGATCATGGTCTGGAATATTATGAACGCTCTGAACGCTGGCTAATGCTCAAACAATATTTGTTAAAATCTTTTTAAATAGAAAAAATATTTTTAAATTAATACATGGTGACTTGATAGAAGTATCTTTGTCTAAAAACTTAACTAAATGACAGTCACAGAAATTATTTTCTATCTTCTACAGAAAAGAGCAGATCCTCTCTCCCAGTGTATGAAGACGATGCACTTCTCAAATCCTAACAAGTTAATTTCTTATATGAGATAAGAGCTTGAATGTTGCTTCAAATGAAACTCATCCTCAAGGTTACACATGTTATTTGCAGTGCATCTCCTTCTACTATGTGAAATCTCCTAAACAGATATTGAAATCTTTTTACATACAACAGTATTTAATTGCTCTAATAGCCATTTAAGTGCCTGCTTAAGAAGGTCAGAGGGACCTTGAGCGTTTGTACCTAGTCAGATAACAAAAGACCTTTAAGATGGTTAGTGAAAAATCGAAATAAATAGAGAAATCTCAGTCTGATAGGCAGAGGTTCCGGCTCAGTGTTCTGTGTGAATTAATTCTTTTATCGGGAATGGTTTTACGAGCATTTTCCTTCTATGCATACCAATTCCAGAGAAGTGGTTAAACCATACTGAAAGGCATTAGCGTTGAGCCAACTCAGAGCCATTTATTTATTGAAAAGTTTATCTCTGTATTAAATTCTCACTGGAGAGGGTTTCATTAGGCCCACAAGACCAGTATAAACAGGGAGCTGCAGAGTTATTTGGAAAATGAATCGAGATCTAACTTCTGGGTCTGTTTTTTGCTCCCATTGCCCATACACCAGGGCTGCCAACGGCACCAAGAGAGAAACATGTGTTCAAGTTGGAAACTTTTTTTTTTTCCTGCATTTGAGCAGGCCACAATTTATATCACTCAGGTCTCCTTAAATTAGTCCAAGAGGATTTCATTTTACAGGCCTGCTTGACTGGGATCTTTTTGGCACGATGGGTTCAGCTTTGTATACAACTGAGATTCATATTTTATGTGTGTGTAAAAACCCCAGCCATGAATCTAGCAGCTCAAAACTTCACCTTCATTCTTTACAGCTCAGTTCAGAGCCCAGCACACTTCCATAGACTGAGTCTCAAGGCAGCTCCTGGCTGAGCTGAAAGGACAAAAGCTAAAAATAGATTAAGAAACTCAGGGGTGTAAGAAGAGAAAATGGGACTCTTTCCGTTTTTCTTTACATAGCACATCCCAAATTAATATGATGTGGACATAATGTCTCCCATTCACACACTTAAATTGAAATAGCACTTTTGGCCAGACATTGTTTTCTGCTTTTAGGTTAAAAGAAAGCCGTAGACTTGTCAGCGGCTTCTGAAATGCTATCACCCTCATGGACCTTGTTGGCCAGGGTGCAAAGCTTCAACTCCACTCTCCACTCCTTTTCCCCAGGTACCCTCCAGCTCCTGGTTGCCTCTCTTTTCCTGGTCTTGTGTTTTCTTCTACTCCATTGACCTACAAACCTAAAAAGCTTCCATGCTGACTGATAAAGCAAGGTACAAAATAGAGGTAGGAAGTTTTGCTTTGTTAATATGATGATAATTTTGTAGGAAGTTTTCGGAAACCTGTACCTATGGATATACACAATAATATCCTTTAAAAATATAAAGCTATTCTATGCTGAATAGAAGCAACATCTGTGAATGGTACTGTATGAATGCAGGTATGTTACAGGTAATAGAACCCAGAACAAAGTGCAGAGGGGTGAAGAGAGCCATGAGAGTTTGGTTTAAATTTTGGTTGTCATCTCTAATCATTTGTTTATTTGAGCTAAAGTTGGCTGCCTTCCTTGGCACTATTAATGTCTCTAATGGGCTACAAAGACTACAGGTCTATAGAATTGTTTATATTTAAACAAAATGAAAGTTGTGGTCCCAGTATCACATCACTCTTAAAATAACAGAAATCTTATCTTGAGAATCATGATTCATGAAATTTCTAATGAGTTCCTTCACTATTATAAACCATTGCCTCATATTTAATTTTCATGAACATGTAAACGTGTTAAGGTATTACATAATCATGGTAGATAGGAACCTGTCTTCAAATAATAATTATGGAAATCCATTAATTATCCAGCATCTATATTATGCCTGATACCCCTATGAATAAAGAAGAACAAGACATCCTCTCAGGCCTCAAGGAGCTTTCAATCTATCTGCATAAACTGTATATATAGAAATAAGAATAATATCAAGCAAAATAATATGTGGCTAATTGACTAAATGATTGAGGAAAGCCAAAATGTGAGATGATAGAGAAAAATCAATGTGTATTAAAAACATTTCTGAAGATTAAAGTGATTATGATTAAAGTGGTCATTAAACAAAAGGTAAAATTTGTTTTAAAAAAAGAAGAAAATATGTTCCTAGAGGAATGGGGAGAAGAGTGATAGCTCTCAGGAAGAATAAGAGCTCAAAAGCCAGAGGAGCATACTCTAGAAATGGTGACCTCTGGTATATTAAGAAATACATTTGGACTTTTTCCCCAGTTCCTGGCACAAAGCTCCTAAAAAATTACTGGAATTTCCTGAGGGATAGGAGTGTCTTTTGTTATTTTTAAGGAGCCCCTTTTGAGCACACTTGGGTTTAGGTTCATGAAGTGACTTAAAATGGGGCCTCTAGACAGCCTTAGGATGCGGCTGGTCACCAGAAAGATCCAATGATTAGAAGACTGGGACTTTCAGCTGCACCCACCAACCTCTGGAAAGGGGAAAGGGAGGTGGGCTGCAGGTTAAGTTCTGTGAAAACACTTGCATAATGAGATTTGATGAACTTCTGAGTTCATGAATACATCCACATGGCCAGGACATAGAACACCCCAGGGACAGAAGCTCTTGCACTTGGGAACTTTACAGACCTTGCCCTGTGTACCTTTTCATCTAGCTGTTCATCTGTATCCTTTATAATATACTTGATAATAAAATGGTAAATGTAAATGTTTCCCTGAGCTTTGTGAGCCATCCTAACATCTTTTTTCTTATCAAAATGGTATATCTAAATACCAATCCTTCTTCCTTCCCTCCTTTATTTTGTCATTTTCCCTCCTTTCTTTCCTTCTTTTCTCCTTTTCATATCCCCTCTTTTCTTCCCATATTTTATTATCTTCATCCTGGTGAAAGCCAAAGCTTTTATTAAAATGTGTAAGGATGAAAGGAAGTAATAAGTATCATCCTTATTACTGTGATAAGTAAGACCAGTACAGGGATGTATTAGTTTGGATAAGTAATACCAGCTACTGTAACAAAGAACCCCACTCTCAGTAATTCAACAAAATAAGGATTCACTACTTTCTATAGTTACGGTACAACGTAGACTTAGGCAGGAGAGACATTTCACTTAGAGGTGCAGACTGATGTGTTCTCTGCCATCCCATAAGACCACAGAAGGTCTACAATTGATGAAGGAAGAGAACACAGGGAATACCACACTGACGATCTGGCTGGGGTACCCACACCAGAGTCACAGAGCCCTAGTAGACTGTGATCTTCTTCAGCAAACCATAATAAGAGAGAAACACACGATAACAACATTGCACGGATGTTCAAAACACCCATCTTTCAGCCACAGAGGCAGACCCCTTCAGCTAAGTAAAAGCTCCCACCCTCAGGGCCCCAGGACTTTGTGGAATGCTCCTCTCAGAGAGAGCAACCTGCAGCAGATGGAAGCAGTAAGGGAGTGATGGTTTAGGGGAAAGAGGTCAGGCAGTACTGACAGAGAAAACAAATACCCAAGGCATCAAATAACAAGGTTGCATAATATAATGAAAGATCAGATCAAAGTTTGAGTTCTTGCTCTGAGAGTTTCTTGCTATATGAATTTGGGCATCTATCTTAGAGGATTACTGTAAAGTTTAATGAGTTAATGTATAGAAAAGTTTCAATGTAGTGCTCAACATATAGCAAGTGCTTGGTAAATGTCAGCTAATCGTAATGGTTGCCACCATGGTAGAAGAAGTAGTGACGGTCATGGTGATAGTGATATGGGTTGGGTTGGAATTATATTGATTTATGAGATTGATTCCATGTGAGAACTATTGTGGGAGAAATATGCACCAGCACCAATTGGCCAGAAAGAGACGCCTGGTTAAGGAAAGTGATTGCCTTGAGCTTTTAGGCTACAGTAAGGAACAAATACACATTCACCTTTTAAGTTTTCTGAGGATTTATGACTGAGGGTGGGAATCAAGGAAGGTATATTTTAGGGCCTGATGCTTCATCCCTCCTGCAATACAGCCAGCAGAAAAAACAATCAGGAGGACAATCCCACTCAAGGAATATATTAGAAACACAGCACTGAGCTGTTTGGAAGCACGCAAGAAAAGAGGAATTAAAAGTAATAAGTTGGGAGAGAGGGGGAAAGTCTCATATTTGATTCCATTACTCATCTCCTTCCAGTTCTCCCATTTTCTAGCTCAGATTCATTGAGGTTACATGGATCATGCCTTTCATTTACCTGTAACATTTCCCACAACTCCACAGTTTATAGGGCCATGGATTAGTCGCCATTCTTTTCAAGCACCCTGAATACCATCTTTCTTGCCTTATGCTTCAAGAATTTCTTTCGAGTAAATCAGGGTCAGACCATCTGATCTGCTCAAGCCAAGCCCAGGGTCCATCTTTACAAAACAGCGCTGTTCCTAACAAAAAAAGAAACAAGCAAAGTGATATAACTTTTTATATCTGTTTATATAGACATAAATAAAACATGTCCTTCCTCAAGATAAAGTAATCCCCGCTTAGCTATCCTTTTTCATTCTGCATTTGAGGTGTTTTCAAAGCCTCCTTTAATGTTGTGCTCTCTTTGAGCCAATCACTCCAAGCCTGGGAGCACCTCTGCCAGTTCTAAGCACTCAGCTTCCCTTGGCCTTTCTGCCGTTTCCTTTTATCTCTTTCTCTGAAGAGCTGCTCCCTAATTACTGTTTTAACTTTTGGTGAGATTTTATTTCTTTCCTTCCCTTTCATCCTATGAAGTAGGCAGATTTTAGTTTTGTGACCCATATACTCAATTGTTTCTACATCCTCTCACCTTGTCTTTCTTCTTGTAATGTCCCAAGAAGCTAGAAAGGAATGGAGAAATACTGATGCCTTGAGAGTTCACAGAATTTGTAATGGAGAAAGTTACAACTGTTACAACCTAAATATTTGTTCAAATTCCATACAGAAGTCTTCACTGACCATACAAGCATTGCTCTTTATCTTGTCAATTAAATAAAATTAGACTGTGTCGACATTTTTTAAAACTGTAAAAGAAATAATCATCTGGATTTCTGTTTTCCTGTCAAACTGAAGAGCTCAAAGCACTTTGTAAAAAATTATATTAAAGCACAGTTTTCAGCTTGTAGGCAAACATTTTAATGCAGTGATAGCCACATTTAAGAGTATGAAGCTACAGTCAAGTGAAATGACAATTATATACACTCATTAAAAAGTGTACCATTAAATGAAAAATGTGAGTAACTGGCTTACATTTTGGTTGAATAATAAACCAAATTAACAAGGGATCAAGCTAAGTGGAACTAAAGTGAGAGGAGTTGTTATTTAAAGGCTGCCTGGCATTCCTAGACAATGTAAGACAGAAAATCACCTCAAAGCAAATCGTATTGTCCTGTGTCATGTATGAATTTCCCCCTTCATTATGCAGATGTAAGTTAATTTTGTGATCACTGCTGTGCTGAATGGTGAAAAGGAACCATTTGTACCTTGAAAAACACTGCCTTTGGATCAGAGTCCCTCTCTGGGAAGAAGGTGATTACGTTTTATGTAGGGATTAGGGAGCCAAGTGGAAGGGAAAAACTAGAGATCCTGGCCACTTTCATTCTGAATGTCAATATTATTAGACCTTTTCTGATGAATTGAGATAGTTTTGCCCAAGATGCTTTGGAGTTAGAGCAGATTAGGGGTGACCAAGTTAAGTCCAGCGTGGCAGAGAGGGAGCAGGGGAGGATCTGGCACGTGATCCAGGCCCAGCACTATGGTGCAGGCTGTTGTGAAAGGAGGACTCTTCTGGCACGTGTGGCTTTTGCTCAAGCCACCTTCTAATCCAGCCACCCTGACATGGAGAACAATGCTTTGAGAACAATGTCTTAGTATGAGCCTATAACCTAAGGAGTACCTTAGCCAAGAGGCTAGACTCATATCTCCCTCTCTTGAAGATGCCATGTTGTCTGCAGGAGTAATCGTCATAGCAGCTGGCCTCACATTCAATTATGAGGCGCTAGTTTCAAAAGTTACTCTGTGGCGGCAGCAAAGGCAATGGAAGTTAAAACTGGGGGATCTGGTGATAAGATCAGATTTGCCAATTCCTGTCACTGACCTCGTCACCGAAATAGGGGAAGCTACATACTTGATGACAGGACATCCAAAAGGACTCACCCCTGTGCCTTATAAACACCATCTTCACTGATTACATCTCAACCCCTCTGGCCACGTCCATTACAAAAAAGGCACTGAATGTGCCCTCTCTGAATCAGTGCCAGGAGAGTTTCCTGAATCGCCTACAAAACATTGCCATGATGATGGGGACTATGCAGATCCTGTCCATGTTTGAAATCTAGTCCAGGAGCTCCCACATCTGATCTGTGGTGGGTTGATAAAAATCTGCAATGAAATTTTCACCTGTTTGCCTGAGAGGAAAAAAAGACAATATAGTAATTTTTCAGACAGGTTACATTATACCAGATAGTTTATATCTTTCCTGATAATTTTGATGTTAAAATAGTATTTGTTTTATGCAAAGATGGTGAAAGAATCAGACAATTTTGTTTATAATGGCATTATTTTGCAAATAAGAAATTATCAACTACTGTTGACTGCTGCTAGTTCCCTCTCTTTCTCTCTCCCCTAACTTGTTAGATGTAAAAAAACGGAAACAATGATGTAGCACACATGCCTAAAGGGTGTTTCAATTTTTGCTCCTCACGCCCCAAGTGAATCCTTTTTCCCCCAAATTTATTATCTTTCCTGAGATATGTGGGAGGTCCCAAGAAACTGAATCAGCAAAGCCAATCCAATTAACAGAACATTACCTAAGTTTTTACTATGGATGGTGTGTCCTTGTTATTGTAAACTTGCCCCCATGTTACTAACCTTACGAAACTACTTAGTGAAAGAGAGAGGAAATAGTTTCATACTAGAAAATAGAGCTAGCAGGAGATTCGTTCAGATGGCACAGTAGAAGGATGTGCGCTCACTCCCTCTTGTGAGAGCACCAGAATCACAACTAACTGCTGAACAATCATCAATAGGAAGACACTGGAACTCACCAAAAAAGATACCCCACATCCAAAGAAAGAGAAGCCACAGTGAGATGGTAGGAGGGGCATAAGCACAATAAAATCAAATCCCATAACTGCTGGGTGGGTGACTCACAAAGGGGAGAACAATTATACCACAGAAGTCCACCCACTGGAGTGAAGGTTCTGAGCCCCACGTCAGGCTTCCCAACCTGGGGGTCCAGCAACTGGAGGAGGAATTCCTAGAGAATCAGGCTTTGAAGGCTAGCGGGATTTCATTGCAGGAATTCAACAGGACTGGGGGAAATGGAAACCCCACTCTTGGAGGGCACACACAAAGAAGTGTGTGCATCAGGACCCAGGGGAAGGAGCAGTGACCCCATAGGAGACTGAACCAGACCTACCTGCTACTGTTGGAGGGTATCCTGCAGAGGCAGGGGGTGGCTGCGGTTCACCATGAGGACAAGGACACTGGCAGCAGAAGTTCTCGGAAGTACTTCTTGGCATGAGCCCTCCCAAGTCCACCATTAGCCCCAACAAAGAGCCGGGTACACTCCAGTGTTGGGTAACCTCAGGACAAACAGCCAACAGGGAGGGAACCCAGCCCCACCCATCAGCAGAAAAGAAGATTAAAGTTTTACTGAGCTCTGCCTATTAGGGCAACACCCAGTTCTACCCACCACCAGTCCCTCCCATCAGGAAACTTACACAATCCTCTAGATGGCCTCATCCACCAGAGGGCAGACAGCAGAAGCAAGAAGAACTACAATCCCGCAGCTTGTAGAACAAAAACCACATTCACAGAAAGATAGACAAGATGAAAAGGCAGAGGGCTATGCACCAGATGAAGGAATAAGATAAAACGCCACAAAAACAACTGAATGAAGTGGAGATAGGAAAACTTCCAGAAAAAGAATTCAGAATAATGATAATGAAGATGACCCAGGACCTCGGGAAAAGAATGGAGGCAAAGATCGAGAAGATGCAAGAAATGTTTAACAAAGACCTAGAAGAATTAAAGAACAAACAAACATAGATGAACAATACAATAACTGAAATGAAAATGCACTGGAAGGAATCAAGAGCAGAATAATTGAGACAGAAGAAAGGATAAGTGACCGGGAAGACAGAATGGTGGAATTCACCTCCGCAGAACAGAATAAAGAAAAAAGAATGAAAAGAAATGAAGACAGCCTGAGAGACATCTGGGACAAAATTAAATGCAAAAACATTCACATTATAGGGGTCCCAGAAGGAGAAGAGAAAGAGAAAGGACCCAAGAAAATATTTGAAGAGATTATAGATGAGAACTTCCCTAACATGGGAAAGGAAACAGCCACCCAAGTCCAGGAAGCTCAGAGAGTCCCAGGCAGGATAAACCCAAGGAGAAACATGCCAAGACACATAGTAATCAAACTGACTAAAATTAAAGGCAAAGAAAAATTATTGAAAGCAACAAGGAAAAAATGACAAATAATATACAAGGGGACTCCCATAAGGTTAACAGCTGATTTCTCAGCAGAATCTCTACAAGCCAGAAGGGAGTGGCCTGATATATGCAAAATGATGACAGAAGAACCTACAATTCATGATTACTCTACCCAGCAAGGATCTCATTGAGATTCGATGGAGAAATCAAAAGCTTTACAAACAAGCAAAAGCTAAGAGAATTCAGCACCACCAAACCAGCTCTACAACAAATGCAAAAGGAACTTTCTAAGTGGGAAACACAAGACAAGAAAAGGACCTACAAAAACAAGCCCAAAACAATTAAGAAAATGGTCATAGGAACATACATACCTATAATTACCTTAAACATGAATGGATTCAATGCTCCAACCAAAAGACACAGGCTCGCTGAATGGATACAAAAACAAGACCCATATATATGCTGTCTACAAGAGACCCACTTCAGACCTAGGGACACATACAGACTGAAAGTGAGGGGATGGAAAAAGGTATTCAATGCAAATGGAAATCAAAAGAAAGCTGGAGTAGCAAAACTCATATCAGATAAAATACACTTTAAAATAAAGAATGTTACAAGAGACAAGAAAGGACACTACATAATGATCAAGGGATCAATCCAAGAAGAAGATATAACAATTATAAATATATATTCACGCAACACAGGAGCACCTCAATACATAAGGCAACTGCCAACAGCTCTAAAAGAGGAAGTCGACAATAACACAATAATAGCAGGGGATTTTAACACCTCACTTACACCAATGGACAGATCATCCAAACAGAAAATTAATAAGGAAACACAAGCTTTAGATGACACAATAGACCAGATTTATTTAATTCATATTTATAGGACATTCCATCCCAAAACAGCAGATTACACTTTCTTCTCAAGTGCACATGGAAGATCTATCTATTCTCCAGGATAGATCACATCTTGGGTCACAAATCAAGTCTCAGTAAATTTAAGATAATTGAAATCATATCAAGCATCTTGTCTGCCCAAAAAGCTATGAGATTAGAAATCAGTTACAGAGGAAAAACCATAAAAAACACAAACACATGGAGGCTGAACAATACGTTACTGAATAACCAAGAGATCACTGAAGAAATCAAAGAGGAAATCAAAATATACCTAGAGAACAAATTACAACAAAAACACGATGATCCAAAACCTATGGGATGCAGCAAAAGCAGTTCTGAGGGGGAAGCTTATAGCAAAACAAGCCTACCTCAAGAAACAAGAAAAATCTCAAATAAACAATCTAACCTTACACCTAAAGAAATTCGAGATAGAAGAACAAACAAAACCCAAAGTTAGTAGGAGGAAAGAAATCATAAAGATCAGAGCAGAAGTAAATGAAATAGAAACAAAGAAAACAATAGCAAAGATCAATAAAACTAAAAGCTGGTTTTCTGAGAAGATAAACAAAATTGATAAACCATTAGCCAGACTCAGCAAGAAAAAGAGGGAGAGGACTCAATTCAATAAAACTAAAAATGAAAAAGGAGAAGGTACAACAGACACTGCAGAAATACAAAGCATCCTAAGAGACTAGTACAAGCAACTCTATGACAATAAAATGGACAACCTGGAAGAAATGGACAAATCCTTAGAAAGGTATAACCTTGCAAGACTGAACCAGGAAGAAATAGAAAATATGAACAGACCAATCACAAATAATGAAATTGAAACTGTGATTACAAATGTTCCAACATGCAAAAGTCCAGGACCAGATGGCTTCACAGGTGAATTCTATCAAATATTTAGAGAAGAGCTAACACCCATCCTTCTCAAACTCTTCCAAAAAATTGCAGAGGAAGGAATACTCCCAAACTCATTCTGTGAGGCCACCATCACCCTGATACAAAAACCAGACAAAGATACTACCAAAAACGAAAATTACAGACCAATATCACTCATGAATATAGACGCAGAAATCCTCAACAAAATACTAGCAAATGGAATCCAACAACACATTAAAAAGATCATACACCATGATCAAGTGGGATTTATCCCAGGATGCAAGGATTCTTCAATATATGCAAATCAATCAATGTGATACATCATATTAACAAATTGAAGAAGAAAAATCATAGGATCATCTCAATAGATGCAAAAAGACTTTTAACAAAATTCAACACCCATTTATGATAAAAACTCTCCAGAAAGTGGGCATAGAGGGAACTTACCTTAACATGATAAAGGCCATATATGACAAACCCACAGCAAACATCATTCTCAATGGTGAAAAACTGAAAGCATTTCCTCTAAGATCAGGAACAAGACAAGGATGTCCACTCTTCAACATAGTTTTGGAAGTCCTAGCCACAGCAATCAGAGAAGAAAAAGAAATAAAAGGAATACAAATTGGAAAAGAAGAAGTAAAACTGTCACTGCTTGCAGATGACATGATACTACACATAGAGAATCCTAAAGATGCCACCAGAAAACTACTAGAGCTAATCAATGAATTTGGTAAAGTTGCAGGATACAAAATTAATTCACAGAAATGTGTTGCGTTCCTACACACTAAGGATGAAAAATCTGAAAAAGAAATTAAGGAAACGCTCTCATTTACCACGGCCACAAAAAGAATAAAATACCTAGGAATAAACCTACCCAGGGAGACAAAAGACCTGTATACAGAAAACTATAAGACAGTGATGAAAGAAATTAAGGATGATACAAACAGATGGAGAGATACACCATGTTCTTGCACTGAAAGAATTAATACTGTGAAAATGACTATGCTACCCAAAGCAATCTACAGATTCAATGCAATCCCTATCAAATTGCCAACGGAATCTTTTACAGAACTAGAACAAAAAATCTTAAAATTTGTATGGAGACACAAAAGACCCTGAATAGCCAAAGCAGCCTTGAGGGAAAAAAATGGAGCTGGAGGAATCAGACTCCCTGACTTCAGACTATACTACAAAGCTACAGTAATTAAGACAACATGGTACCTGCACCAAAACGGAAATATAGATCAATGGAACAGGGTAGAAAGCCCAGAGATAAACCTATGGTCAACTAATCTATGACAAAGGAGGCAAGGATATAAATGGAGAAAAGAAAGTCTCTTCAATAACGGTGTTGGGAAAACTGGACAGCTACATGTAAAATAATGAAATTAGAACACTCCCTAACACCATACACAAAAATAAACTCAAAATGAATTAGAGTCCTAAATATAAGACCGGGCACTATAAAACTCTTAGAGGAAAACATAGGAAGAACACTCTGACATAAATCACAGCGAGATCTTTTTTGATCCACCTCCTAGAGTAATGGAAATAAAAACAAAAATAAGCAAATGGGACCTAATGAAACTTAAAAGCTTTTGCACAGCAAAGGAAATGACAAACAAGATGAAAAGACAACCCTCAGAATGGGAGAAGATATTTGCAAATGAATCAATGGACAAGGGATTAATCTCCAAAATATATAAACAGCTCATGCAGCTCAATATTAAAAAAAACAAACAACCCAATCCAAAAATGGGCAGAAGACCTAAACAGACATTTCTCCAAAGAAGACATACAGATGGCCAAGAAGCACATGAAAAGATGCTCAACATCACTAAATTTTAGAGAAATGCAAATTAAAACTACAATGAGGTATCACCTCACACCAGTTAGAATGGGCATCATCAGAAAATCTACAAACAGCAAATGCTAGAGAGGGTGTGGAGAAAAGGGAACCCTCTTGCACTGTTGGTGGGAATGTAAATTGATACAGCCACTATGGAGAACAGTATGGATATTCCTTAAAAGAACTAAAAATAGAATTACCATATGATCCAGCAATCCCACTACTTTGCATATACCCAGAGAACACCATAATTCAAAAAGACACATGCACCCCAATGTTCATTTCAGCACTATTTACAATAGCCAGGTCAGGGAAGCAACCTAAATGCCCATCAACAGATGAATGGATAAAGGAAATGTGGTACATATATACAATGGAATAT